TGGCAGAAGAAAGAATGAGGTTGTCTATCAATTATCTAATTGGCTTTTTAATTTTAGCATTTCTTTGATATTGCTGCTTGTGAATATTATTTCATTCAGTAGGTTGTGGATTTCTTTCAGACTTGCAGCACATGAAACCTCTGGAGTAAATGGAGCTCCATGACAGGGAGCTATGAAAGATAACAAAGCAGCAAGCCTATTTGTTAGTAAAGGTTGCTGTGCAAGGGGCAGCATCTCCACCCAAGAATTTTTAGATGGTACAAAACCTAAAAGTGATTAAAAACGGTCCTCTAGTATCACTGTATTGTATATATTTATATTGTTCAGAAAGCAAAAATGAAATATATAATTACACGTTTTAATGATTATTTTTAGAAGTCTCAATTTGGAGATGAACATACTTGACTTTGGCAACCCAATATCTATCTGTCCAAATTAGAACGGAATCCTCACAAAATGTGTATCTGAGTTGAAAGATCATGGGGTTTTATGCTCTAGCAGTTCAGTAGCTCTTGTTTTAACAAAAGTTTCTCTTTTGCATCACAGTAACGTCCAGATTTTGGATAAAATACTTACGGATTTCACTGTGTGATCTAACTTTGATTACATTAAAGATTCGACCAGACAGTAAGGCTAAATTTCTCCTAGTTGTGATGTATCTAAATTTGTCAGTGTGACATTGAATGGGGTTGTGTTTGGGCAGTATTCTGACTCCTCTTACAGGAAATAGTTAAAAAGGAATTTCTGCACATCTGAAAAACTAGTCAGAAGAGACGAGTTTGTTGTTTTGTCTCTCCTGCCTGACTGTGGCTTAGGCTTTGAGCTGTCTGCTTTCAAATATCAGAAGAGTTCCCTTTATACAGATAGAAGACAAAAAGTCTCAACTCCTACGAAGCTGGGCAACTGATAGTGACACGACTTGACTTGTTGTGGGTATTCTTTTCATATTATTTGTGTTCTAGCATGCAAAAACTAAGCAAAACATGTCTTTTTAAGAAGCAGTACTAGTCTATTAATTAGCTATAATGTCAATTAGTGTTTGTTATTTCAAGTTTTGTTAACATATATCCATTGTGATTGTTAAGCTTTCCTATAGCAAGCTCTTTTCTGATTTTCTGTATAGCAAATGCAGAACTGGTGCTAAGAAGTAAGACTGAAGAGCAAAATATTCAGAAGTCTTGAAATTCTACATATTAGAATTGCTATGGCATTTTAAAAATTATTGTTAATTATTATTAGAAATTTTCAGTTATGTTTATGCTTACTGCTCAGTGAAATTGTTGGAGATTGGGCTGCTGGAGTGAGGGGCAGAGTTATTTTCTGGAAAATAAAAGCATCCCAGGAAAAAGAAAGACCATCATTAGGGCACATACAGATTTTACCTCACTGAACATCTGTTGGTATTACATAGAAAAACATTCTGTTGAAGACAGTGAAGAATGAACCAGTTTATTCTGTTCCATAAGAAACCACCTTTGGCATGTTCCCTGAAGGACTTGAAGTTGCAAAGCTGCTGAAAAACAGCAGCTTTGTAAACAGGCTGGTTTTCTGTGATTAAAACAGTGTAGCTAACTGCACATGTTAATATGTTCTATACCAAAGGAGTATATAAGGCTTGGCTGTAATTGTCATTAATGTTTACTTCAATCTACAATGTGTGCAAACAGATTTCATTCAGTTTTCTTAAACATTTTGTAAAACATTCATTTAAAGGTGTGTTAGATTCTTATGTCCAAGGGAACAAATATTCTTCTTGATGTGTCTAAATGAAACTTCTAAATTCAGGTGCCTTCAGAGTCTAATTATAGAGCTGCACATTTCTTTTTCTTAATTGCTTCTGCTATAGCTGTTGTTTAAGTGCGAAAATATTTTAAAAGATTGCAAAGAAAGTAGGACTGCTTCACCAGTTCTGGTGCATTAAAGCATAGCATAAGCTTTGCTTCACTTGCCAGATTCTGCTGTTCTGACAGAAAGCTTCTAATCATCTTCTGTAACCAGTAAAGACTAATTATTTTTATAGTGTTTTTTAAAATAGAGTTCGTAACACTAAAAACTTCTGTTCAGACTGCACATACAATTACTAAAATTGGAAACGAGAGACACAGAATAATATCCTGGATGTGTCCTTCTGTTTATATGAGTACATACCAAACAAGGCAGTTTAGAACCCAATTTATTTTAATACCAAAAAAAAATTCTGTGAAAGCATTGCTGAAGTGGTATCTTGAAAAAAAATTAACATATAAAGCAAACACTAAGAGGTACTAATACTTCCTTTTTTCTGGGTTTACGTACTATTACTTCCTATGTTTTTAAAGCTATATCTTGGTTGTAAGCTAAAAACTTCATGAACTGATTTGAATTAGAGTATACCATTTCAACCACGTCACTGGTTTTAATTAGGTATTTACCATTTAAATATGCATTTCAAGTTGGAGAAGTTCCAAGTTTCTTTTGAGATTTATTGTGTGTTTTGTTTCCTTCTTGGTTTTTAGAGTTAAGATTGGACAGAACTTTAGAGAAAAACACACTATACTCAGGGTAAATGTAATGTGGTGTAGGCTGTTTGTATGGTGTTTCTGTTAGACTCTGGAACAAGTGCCTTCCATTGTAATAAGCTTTGGAGGTAAAGTACCTAACAAGATGCTCTAGAAGAGATCTGCTTGTGCTAGGGAAGCTACTGAAAATACATCTTTTCTCTAATTGAGGCTGTCTTCTACCTCCAGAAACAATGAATGTATCCTGTGTCTTGGGTAGTATATAGGCTTTAAGCCTTAATGCAGACATGAAGGTTTTTCTTTTAAGTACTGTCAGAGTCCCTCCTAATAGTTCGATGCTTTGGAAGTAAATCTCAGTGAGTAGCATTCCTGGAAGATGAAATTTAAGTGCCATGCCTAAGCATGAGAAAATAAATGCACCCTTGTTTAGTTTGAACTTTGCCTTGATTTTTTTCTAAACATTCTTAGAGGCACTGCTTTCTACTTTCCTTTCCGCCTCCTTCCTAGTCTCAGAAGATAACTCTCCCATGATAGCAAGAAAAAAATTGTTTCTGTAAACTGCCGGTTCTTTTGAATCGCAATAGCAGCGATTTGAATCATCAGCAACTTCAGCAACTTAGCTTTTAAACAATTGCTAGAAATAACTAATAAAGATATTTTCATGCTAACTTTTCTGTAATTTCATTAATCTCTTCTGTAATTTCTGTAATTTCATTAAATAGGATGTATGTGTGACTCTTAGAAAAATACACTTAGTAGTATTCGTGTTGGGTCTCAGCTTCTACTGTACTTAGTACACAGTACTTAATGCAGTTTTGTAACAGGTGTATGAATGTGTTAATAATTTGGAGTTGCTGGAGTTTGGGTATGTTTTGTTTACTTATTCAAGAAAAGGAAAAACCAAATAATTATGTACACAGCTAAAATGGCTTCTGAACTATAAGGTAGCAGAAAGCTTGTAATATAAAGACTTCACCAGTGGTCAAGGCTGCTTGAACTGTTAAGTATTTTGGCAGCACAAGGTGAAGTTGTTGAATGTGGAAGAAACTGATTTAGCTTGGCTTTTCTAATTTTCCTCTTTCCTTTTTGCATATGGACTTGAAATGTTCAGCATGTGGAATAGATTGTTAAAGAGCACGAGGAAAATTATGATGATGCTATTTGATTGCATTTATTGCAATTTGCTTCTGTTCTAAAACTGAATGGTATTTCACATGAGAAATACAAAAGAGCACTTCTGCAGCATGACAAGATTCCCTTTTTCAAATAACCGAGGTCGTCCTCAGCCAACCCATGCAACTGGAAGCTTCTCCATGCAAGCTCCTGAGCAGCCCTTGCTGAGCCACCTAAAAGGGGTGTACTTATCAACTCATTCTTTACAGTGTTAGGAATGCCAAAGGTGCTAAGAGTCCCTTGTGTATTTTGAATATTTGTTTATGTACACTATTTTGAATTTCAGTCAAATTTTGAGTATTTCCAAAGTTAAGAGACTCCACAACTTCCTTGGGCAATTTGTTGCAGAGTTTCACAACCCTCACTGTGATAAAAAATTCTCTAATATCCTAAAAATAGTTATTTATACCTTTTTTCTGTCTTACATTTCAAAGAAGTCATCTAACATCAATAGGAATAAGTACAGGCATGTTCATCTTCATATCATTTGAAAAGTAAGCCAAAAAATTTTTATTTGAAAATAGTACTTATAGCAATGCCTTTTTGTTCTTAAGTATCATTTATTCCTTTAAAATATACACAGTCCGTTAGGTTTGTGTGAAAGAAAGCCTGTAATATCTACCTCTAATTTGAAACTGAAGACAGATCTTTCTCCTATTATATTTTGCATAGTTGTAGGGTTCTAAAAGTTTTTCAAACCAATTAACCTGGAAGGTTTACAATTTCCTATTTAAATAGTTTGGCATTCTTCTGTCCAATAGGAAATCCTAGTAAAAATAACAGTACTTTTTTTTTGTGAGCACTCCTTGGGAAGTTTTGGATTTCTCTTCTAAGATTTTGGCTTTTGTAGCCTTCTATCTTCAAGAGCATTTTCCCATATTCTGAGGTTTATTTAAATTACCGTTTGGAATGTTTGATGATTTGATTTATTGAGACAAGTGGGATATGCAGATTCATTGGACTTTATAGCAGAATGTATGGCTTACAGCATTTATTTGAGATTCATAGGATCACTTCTAGTAGAAGATTATAGTTTCTGTAAATCTGTGGAAAAAGCATGGGAGGTTTGCAGAATCCCTTAACCTCTTGAACTTTCCCATGTCATCCTATGAACTCTGAATCTATGGCACTGTTTGAATCTGGAAATGTTTAAAAATGAAAAGCCAAAACCCTGAGCTGCTAGATTTTGTATATAAAACATCTGTGGCTCATGCAGTTTAACAGTCGTCTTAATTTTGGTAACATAAGCAGACTATTGTTAGCACTCATCATTACTTTATGTTAAGTAGCATATGATTTCAAAAGTTTGTTTTCCTGTTATTTCAGCTTTATGATAAAATAAACACAAAATCTTCGCCACAAATCAGGAATCCTCCAAGTGATGCTGTACAGAGAGCCAAAGAGGTAATGGCTATAAAATATATTCTTTTACTTTGAAAGTTTCATTGTATTTAAAGTGGAACATTTTTACTTCATTAAGACACTGATACATATTTTGTTGTATAATCTGAATTATTTCTGAATTCTACTGTTGCTTGCTTAAGTTACGTAAACATGCGTAATTGAATTATATCTGTGTTACATACATTACTCAGTTTCATCATTTAACCTTTGCTGCAACAATAGCAGTAGTAAAAGGAATACTCCTGTTGGGTAAATGCGGTATCTTTAATGTTCGGAGTTTTTATCTGCAGAAGTTTCATTTTTATATGATTAAGTCACAAAAAAAAATACATTTCTAGGTATCAGCTCTTTAAATTCAAAAACTAAGTTTGTCATAGACAGTTTTAAGAAGAGCAGACCTAGAAATGCAATGAAGGTGACCAATTTGACCAAAGATACACAATGTTTGTAAGTATACCTGACAGACAGTATTTTATTTATGACAAGTAGTAAAAGCAAAATAGCTGTATTATATATTATCAGTATAAATAAGTGCAGTTCTTAAGGGTAGTGTCATAGGGTTTATAGTTCTATTAAAACAGAATGAACAGGAAGACTTTAAAACAATGTGTAGTAACTGAAGTCACACTGATTGATAGACACCCAGAAATCCTATTCTGCAAAATTTTCTGGCAGTTAATCCTGGAAGGTGCTTCCAGAAGCAAAATACTCTGCTTTTGTTTTCCAAGTAGTTGCACGTGAAAGTAAAGATGTATCAGGTTGCAGGCAAATGGGTTAAAGCTTATTTACTTCCTCTTCCTTCCCCCAGCAATAAGCTGAATTATGGCTCTGATTTTATAAAATCTGGAGCTTGGAGGTGGGATAGCAGATGGACTACCTACACTTGATGTCTTTTAGCAATTTAATTTGTGGAGAGAAGGTTTTATGAGTCTTTTTAATTCTGCTTTTAAACAGATTATTTTAATAAATTGAGAACCATGTGTGAAAGTAGCAATTGGTGGTGGTGATGTGTGTCTCCTATTAGCGCTTCATTGCTGTTTCCATGTATTTAGCAGTTGGAGGAATACTGTCAATTGAATAAAGAGCGACTGTTTCTTTCAAATTTCTGCTTTAATCTCTCTCAGAAAGAAAATTGAAATGAGGTATTTTATTCTCTTGGGAGGAGCACATTCTCCTAAGTGCTCTCCTGTCAAAAATATTCTTTTGTATATTCTTACAGATATTCTGACTGATCAGTGAGGGTTTTCATTTGTTTGACTAATAGCTTTATTTAAAAGAAAGTTATTATGGGCATTTCTCCTGCTTATTTTGCAGGTATTGGAAGAAATTTCATGTTACCCAGAGAACAATGATGCAAAAGAGCTAAAGCGTATTTTAACACAACCTCATTTCATGGTAAGCAAATGCTATTCTTCTTGGGTTTATTTTTTTTTTAATATTCTTTACATTAGAAAACCTAAGTTCGGTAAGTTCTCCCTAAAATCTGAAAGTGATGAAACTGCATATAATACAATATACCTATTCATAAATGTTTCTGCTGGTCTGGCAAAATAGTTGCTGTTACTACTACTATTGGTCCTCATTACTGTGCTGAAAACTGTCAGCAGTTTGGAATAATCTAATTATGGAACAATTTCACTGTCATTGGGAGAGCTGTGTTGCACTTAGAAAGAAGAGCAAATCCTCTTGGTTGTCCACAGGCAGAGCTGGGATCCTTATTTTTCTTTTTTCTAAGGTCTTGTTAGGATAAAAGTGCATGAATTCATTGCAAAATAAGTATTTATTCAGCATTATTTTACTATAAATCAATAGCTTCTACGAGCTAGTTACATATCAATTCCTACTCTGTCTGTTTCACAAACCTGAGTTATGGGCAGTAATTGTCCTAAGTTCTGGGATGTGACTGCTTAATAACTTGGTTCAAGTTAGTGAAGTCCAGTCTTTTCAAACTACTTAAAGAATTTCTCCTGTTTGTGGTGTGGATGAAGTTCATAAATTCGGAAATAAAAGTGTTTGCTTAAATCTGCTTTACACTATTGTCAGTTTAAAATCATGAATCTGACTTTCCCTTACACAAGGATTATATGCAGGGAGCTTTGTGGAATTTGCTCACCTGAAAGCTGAATTACAGTAAGTCTGAAGGATAAACCTGATTTCCAGGAAAGAATGAGCTGAAACCAACCTCATATTCAGATACAAGATTAAATCTGGATACCTGCATGTCCCAGCATGTTCTTTTGATGGCCACTGTCACCTTGGGTGCATTTGTTTTAGTACTTAAAATTAGATTATGAGTGTGTTTTGAAGTGAATCTCCTGGTTGTCGCCTTACAATGCTTTGTCTTGTATCATGTAAAGGAGGCCTCAGAGCATGCAAACTAGACTCTTTTCAGATAAAATAAAATTCAAAGATGTATGCCAGAAGCCAGTGTAATCCAGTTTCTGATGGGCATTCAGTCCACAGGGCAAGATAGAAGCTGGTCAGAAGTAATCACTCCTGCAACATGTCCTGTGTGTGCATCACATCCCAGCTAACCCAGTTGCTTTACTTGCCGATTCATTCCTATTTCGTTACACTAATTGCTAATGCAGACATTGGCTTCTGATGTTGTACTTAGCAACACAGATATGTTATTGCCTGGATTTGATACCTATCCTGAAGTCTGTAACAAATCTGGTTGAACATTTTACAGGAATACTTGTTTGAAATAGAACATAAAACAAGGTGGAATCGTACTTAGCTGTATTGTAAGAAATACTTAGGAAAAAACAAACGGGGAAGTTAAAAACCCAAGAATAATACTCTCTGATATTCTCACTTTCATTTGATTTACCTTTTTTTTTTTTTTTTTTGCATAATTACCACACAGTTTTGATAAAACATTAGGCACTGTGGAGAGAGAACGTTTTTTAAGTATTAATTATTTTCAGAGTAGGTATCAATAAAAATGATTGTGGCATATAAAATATTCATGTATCAAATCAAGCAATAGGAAAAGTGAGCTGGAAATCATCTTTTATAGGTATCTCTGTTTCCAACTGATATCTTCCTAAATATAAAACCATCTATCAGAATTCTTTTGCTGCAATTTTATAAAAAGTTAGGGTGGCTTTTTTTTTATATGGAATAAGCTGCAAATCCATAATAAGTATTTTTGATGAGGAATAATTTCAGTAAATTAGTCTGTGGCATCCCAAGCTAAACTGCTAGTTGATGTAGTCACATCCCCTCTCCACGTGTTTCATCCACACCCTTGCACTACACTTTGCTACTGCACTGTGCCAAACTAGTAGAAAACTGCCCCAACAAAACAATGATCTATTTAGCAAAAAGATTTAGGGACAGTTGGAGCGCTGCCAGAGCCAGAATAAGCAAGGGAGCAAACACAAAGTCCAGGTTAAGGAGGAATGGCACAAGCATGTGAAGTAGCCTTTAAATCAGCATTTGTGGCTATGGAACCATACTTTTAAGGTGCAGACACCAAAGACCAAAGAGTCTCCAGATGTCAGAGGCAATCCTCTCCCAGCATTCCAGTCCTGCTTCTGGATACACCTCTTACAAGGTTGCAGACCCTACAAAGTTATTATTCTGTATCATGCCAAACTTTCCTTCAGAGCCAAAGCCTTTAAAATAGATACCATTAGGAAAGGAAATAATTTTATAAAACAATATTGTCAGCCTACACTCAATGTGTTTACCAAGCATTGTACAGAGCAATACTCTGGTTAGTAAGTTGCTAACCAGAGACTGAAGCATGGAGACCGAAGCAATAAGGTGAGTGAGAAGGATTATGTGTATTATCACCTGTATGATAACATAGTTTTACTATTATTTATATTATTATCTAATGTGTAGATCTAATCAGAAGACAACGGAGTATAGTCTGAATCATTTACTTAAAGTGTTCGTGGTTTAGACTCTGTATAGGCCTTTACAGAACCAAAGCAAATAAAGCATTTTTAAGTACTCTTACGGGCACTGAGATCTTCAAGTTCAAAGTTTCCTGTTTTAGCTTTGTTTTATCCTTGGGTGCCTTATGGGTACAGGAGTGAATTATTAACTTAGTCTGTACATGCTTAACATTTCAATTTAAACAAACGTATGTAAATTTTGCATAGAGATCTTCCAGCAGATAATTAATTTAAGAATTCTTTAAAAGATTATCAAGTACTTCATTTGTGGTGTTCAAGGAGCTTTTATTCCATTACACAACTTTGAGTCGTTTTTCCAACGTGCCAGGTTTATTTGCAAATGGTTCTATTATGTGTGTTTAGTATGTGGCAGCAATTGAAATGTTTGCTGTACTGGGAGAATTTTACTTAGTTACATATTGAAGTTTTAGCCATCGTCATGTGCCTTCCTATGCTGTTCTTTACAGATAATGATCCTGCAATATAGTGGAAAGCAGTTGTTCTCCCTAGACTTAATTTTCAGTGGGATTATGATGTTTTGCGAAGGAAAAGGAGACAGGAAAAAAAATCTAAGTTATCAAACTTAACAGAAATGCATGAAAATTAGTACCTTTAAGTCCAATAGCAGTCTTTATATTAAAGGTTTTAAATATTTAAATTGAGCTTGCTGTATTTTAATATCTGGTGTTTCTGAATTTGTGTTAATTTTTGTTAACACATTCAGAAATAATCTAGTATAGTTATGAACCTTTAAAAATCTTCAAACTACCATATTTTAACCTCTTGCAAAGTGTATATTATTGCTAAAAATATAGTATAAGCAAGGCAATTATGTGATGTGAAACAAAGGTAAGGCCCTGAATTACATAAAAAACATAATGTTGAAGCATTGAGAGTATAACAGATACAGGCAGGTGGATGAAGTTGAGTAGCTTTGAGTCAATTGAGCTGAAGGAAGCCTAGAAGATTATCCTACTCTCTTAAAGAGTGCTTGTGTGCAAAGCCAAGACCACACTCACTCCTAGAACGGATGTTTCTTGTGATGGCCAGAGCTAAGGCATGTTTGCACACAGCCGCTCTTGTCTTATCTGGGACAACTGCGAACAGTTTTCAGGTGCTAGAATGAGAAATAAGATAAATGTTTAGACCTATGTAGGAGTATTCACACATAAGTTTACACCTAACTAAAAAAAATCAAATTAAGAATTTATTTAATTAAAGTGTTGTAACTTACATGTATGGTCCAGATTTCTAATACAAAATGTTGCTTTAGTAGTACAGACTAATGCAGAGGAATTGTTGCAAATTTGAGCTTAGCGGTTGACAAAATAAGGTGAAAACAGAAAATGCAGCTACAGGTTAGTATTTAACTAAAAACAGTATCTGTGTGGGTGGGCTTGACATTAGAAAAACACTAGAAAAACAGGAAGGAATGTGGGCAGAGCCTTGCTAATTTAGGGAATTCCATTCCCTCATTATAATGCTGAATTCCAAACTATAGTTTGAAACTGATTTGAGGAAAAGGAACTTACACTGTTTATGAAATTACCATTTATAACTTTAGGATTCCTACCTTGGGGACAAATTCAGAATTATGTAGAGGACATGAAACTCCCATTTCTGCCTTGGATTCTAGTTTAGAAATACATCTTTTATCACTTTTTTCCAGTTTAAGTTCTACTTCAACATTTTAATTGAAGACTAAGATGTTGCAGAGTCAGATTTCTTTACCAAAATAAATTCTGTATGTCAATCTAAAGCCTTGCAAGATTGATGGGGTTTGTAAGTTAAGAGTTATGGCATTTAAATGAAAATTAACAAGATGTTAATTATAATATACATGGTTCTAACTGCAGTGGTGGCTAACTCTAGTGTTGTGGAGATACTGCAGGAACGAGGCTTGATTTACCAATCCTTATCTGAGAAACATAACAATTTGGGTATAAAAGCAGGATCTATGTCTGGTTGTTGATGCGATAGTATAGGAGTAGAACTAGCATGTTCACGCATAAATCATATTTAGATTTTGGACAGAAGCAAGTTTGCTATAATAGTAAGAATTGAATGCAGATGTGAAATGACATTTAATCAATTATATGCTGTACCATTCTCTACATTAAGAAACAGAATAAACCCAACAAAGTAGTATTTGAGCAGTTTATTGGTTTAGATGGTAATTTTTATCAGGCATTCTGAAGACAGTGTTGTTGTTCTGGGCCTGTGCTCTAGAGGAAGGGGAGAATATGGAAGTGATTATGCTGGTAAACAACAAAAAAACAGTATCTCATTCTTTCAGACAAAACTGATGCACAGTCTGTCTTAATGATAATAAAATACCACGGGATCTGAATAGCTTTCCATCTTACTAGGGTAATTACTATAGAATAGTTTGCTCAGAAAGGTAGCTTCCTAGTTCTGTGTCTAGGCACATAAATAAAAATATCTCAATTCTGACACCTTGCAGGTGCCAAGAAGATGGGGGAAAGGGAAGCAGCATCATTCTTATTGAGGCATCTACAGTAGAAAATCAGGTTTGCTCATGCAGATTTTAAAGGCTATGGGGTGTGTGTATACATTTGCAGTCTGCTGAAGTTTATCTTAAACCCCTTTAAGGGAAAAGTTCCTATATAGACAGTGAGGCACAAATATCTTGAATTACTTTTAATTTCTGAAAAGCTTCAAGAATACGTACAAAAAATGAGTGGGTGACATCAGAGATAATGGAAGTCTGATATTTTGTTGCTGTAATCTCCTCTAGGCCTTACTTCAAACTCATGATGTAGTGGCACATGAAGTTTACAGTGATGAAGCGCTAAGAGTTACACCTCCTCCCACTTCTCCATACCTAAACGGGGATTCTCCAGAAAGCGCCAACGGTGATATGGATATGGAGAATGTAACACGAGTTCGACTGGTACAGTTCCAGAAGAACACAGATGAACCAATGGTATGGAGGGCACCTCAGTATTATTCTTGACTCTGTTATGGTAAACACCAGTATTATGACGATTTTAATGACATTTTCTGCACTTTGAAGTCAGGTTGCCAGTATAACTGGAATAGTTCAGCAGCCATTGTAGATACTTATTCTCCTGTGTATATAATTAACTTAAAATGCTATGTATACATTCATATTACTGCTGGTTTTATTTAAAAACAACCTTGTAGTACTTATAGCAGATTAGGCTTTTAACCAAACTGGGCACTTTGCACTGTAATACAAAATTGCATGTTTAACAAACCAGAACCTTACATGCTTGTGCATTAAAGTATTGCATCTTCATTTATAGTACTTGTTTTCATTGCTCATATTTAAGTGAGTGGTGAAGTTTTTACTAGAACCTTAAAATTTATACCCTGCCTTCAAGCTTTTTTCTTTTTATTCTTCTTTCTAGGGAATCACTTTAAAAATGAATGAGCTGAACCATTGCATTGTGGCAAGGATTATGCATGGAGGAATGATTCACCGGCAAGGTAATCACTTGTCATGATTAGCTTTGTCTTCAAACACAGTTATTTAAATAATTTTTTCACAAACTGTGTAATGGCTGTACTCCCCATTTTGATTGCTGCTATTCCATAGTTGTGTACCTCTTTATCTGGATGGAGCCCAGATGACTGCCTTTGTTAATTTCCAGTCTGACAGCATTTTGAGATGAGGGCCTGCTATGTTTCATGTAGGCCCTAATTAGGGCAATGGAAGTATAGCACAGCAAGAGATTAAAATGCCAGTAATTTCTGGATCTATACTTATTTAATGCTCTGTTTAAAAAAAAAATAAAAAATCCCTTGACTACTTACAGTACTTTTCCTTGTAAAAGTTAAAGAGCTTTGTTCAACAACAACAAAAAAAATAATTCTCCATGTATTTTCACACAGTTCTTGAGGATCCTTTTACTTTTGATGCTGAGGCTCATAAAAATGATTTTTTGAAATAAAAACATTTCTTGTGCCTGGAACTTGAATCTTTATTTTTAGTTTTCACTACTATAGCAAACACTACAAATACATCTTTTCTTATCTCCAGTCTACTCCTTTTTCCATTTCGTAAGTCCAGATCAGATGTCAAAAAATAGCTGGGCTTTGTCCTACTTTAAACAGATAAACTTCCCACTAGGTTGTTAGCTGCAAGGTTGGATTGCACCCTTAGAAGTGTTACTTTGGTTTTTCCAGTTTGACGTCTTTAATAAACACAAAAATTTTCAACATTTGTCAGACCAAGGTTCCTTCTAGCCTACTGTTCTATTTCAAAGGAAGCTAGGAACAGGTAATTAGGGAGACAAAACATAAAACAGGGAAAGGGTACACCAATCCTTTCCCTGATATATTCACTTAGTTTCCTTGATATGATCAAACCTGTCAATAAGCAGGAAAGATAAAACTTTTTGTACAAGCAAAAATGCCATTCATATAGACTTCTATATTCCCTTAGAGAACCCTCTGAACTGAAATTTATTTGGCTTCTAAAAGTGAATTTTACAAGGAGATTGCCCTAAGATTCACAGGAAGAAGGTTTTCTTCCAACTGTACTTAGGTAGTGCTGATCTCTGCAGAGAATTTTTTCATAAGACTGTTCTATAATATGGGTGTAATAAAATTTCTAAAACCTGTTAAAAGTGGTTAAAAAGTCCAACCATGCCCATTAACACTGATATTTTCTTTTTAATTATATAGTGTCTTTTATTTCTAAAGATTTGGGAATCTTAACCTATTTTATATGTGCTTCATCTAAGGTAGCTCTTCTGCATGTTTCTAATTTTGTTGGTGCTCTAGATGCCTTCATTCACTGCTTCATTCAACATACCTATGTTTAGAATATTTTTACTTAATAGAACAATGTAAATGTAAGTTGACGGTGATCTTGAGCACAACATGTCTTTGAATCCTATTGACAGGGTCTGTGGCTTTTATTTGCAGGGGAGTGGGGGTATGTTGCTGTTTCTCCTGTCTTCTCTTGCAGTGTGGAAAACTGCCAGAGAATAACACCAATGACTACATAACAGGTCTTCTGGGAGGGTTACTGGAACTGTATAATTTCAGGTCTAGCAATATTAAGTACAAACTGCACAATTCCCAGTCACGAAAATGTAGCTGCTGTGATGTCTGCCTCCTATCTCTATGCCAGATCTATCCAGTCCTGCTAGTTGTCCCTATTCAAAAGGTTGAAGTGGGAAGATAGGCTTGTAAAGATGCTATCTGCTTGCACCTACCAGAGGATTAAGCTCAATGAAAATGAAACACCAGTTTCAGCCATTAAAAATTGTCTTTTTGTTGACCTGTCTGTTTTTTTAGGATAAGTACATGAATTGTACCTTAGATTTCAGGCTTTTAATTATGTCTTGGCCTTCACTTTTGTGTCTGTGCCTTAATTTAGCTTAGTAGTCAATTCAATTTTTACCTGTGGATTCTGTTTAGACTACCCATACTGTAAATACTATTTTCAGGGGATCTGCATATAGCCTGAGTTCTCAGTAGCTCTCATTACCTTAACCCATGGGTGGTTTTTGCTGATGACTGGTTTTGGGGCATACGTGCTTAAATGTGAAATCATTCTTAAGATGCATTTAAGAAGAGGTCCCAATATGGCATTTTAAAAGTTTTCCAAATAGGAGAGAGGATTCACTCGCTGCCCATTTATCCTCATCAAAAAAACAGCAGTTTTACATTGTCTATGCTACATTCTCAGGGTGACTTAATGTAAATCTTACACTGATTTTTAAAACACTGATACCACTGGTAAGGTTTCTTCAGGTCTAACAAAACCTGTGTGAGGACTTGGTGAAAATATAATTATATGTTCACAGCCTTTCACTTTTCAGCTACAGAATTTCCTTTTGGCTACAAAACATGTTTCTGAATAGTGTCTCCAAGAATTTATTCAGTGCTCTTCCTAATAGGGTAGGATTTCTCCTACTTCTATGCAGATCAACAGCACACACTTCCTAAAACTGTCTTCAGTCTGGCTTGCAAAGACAAAGGAAATAATTTGTTCCAGAAATACATCCATTCTTTATTGTTACAAATGTATTATACATCAATAAGTCATGAATAGTTTAAGTTCTAAAGAAACGCTGCACTGTCAATAGAAAAGGAACCAAAAGCAACCAAAATTAGATGGCTAAGCAAAGGTACCATGAGAGCTACAAATGGTTCAGAACACTCATTATCAAAAGATGTCAAGAATACTCTTTTCCAACAAGAATATTTAGAAAGAGTAAAAAGTTTCTACAGAAAAATAATAGCCTCTTCCCTCAGATTGAAAATGTCTTTTTATGGTTCACTAGTGCATTCACTCCCCAAAACAGAATGACCATCTACTATTTAATATCCATTCTTTATTCCCAATTTTTATGTATACTTCTCTATTCCAGGCATGAACAGAACAATGTTCACTTCTGTCAGAGTAACGGAAATGGGAAATGCTCCAGAAGAGGGGATTTCATTTAAGTGCACTGTTGAAATAATTTGATACAGGGATATTACTGACTCTGATTCTCATTCTGATATTTAATCCTATCAGATACATATTTTGAATAATGCTAAAGAATCTTAGTATTATTCCAGGGCAGTATTATTCAGTATTATTGTTTAATAACAATTACACTCAATTCAAACACAATTTAATTTTGGCATGATACAGTCAACGGAAAGCCCGATTTATTTAGATTCTAATTTTTTTTTTAAAGAATTGGGTATTTAATGGCTTCCTGAGAAAGTGTGAAAAAAATGAACTTTCAAAGTGTTTCACTAGAGATTTGGTCATTAGTATTCTAGATGTGAACTAGATTAATTTGAAATTCAGATGCAGGACTGTTGCATTCACATTCAGCAAACTATTAATTGTAATAAAAATTATGATGAGTCCTTTTTAAAATTTCACAATTAGCAGATCAGTCCCTAAAGAATTGTTTGGAGCATTTAATGTGGCTGAAGGACTTAACTCTTGAGAGAGTGTATGAAAAGTTTTTGTGCACTTCGGTCTCTTTCCTGTGGCACTGCCAAGTGAGCTTCTGTTTTGCAGAAGAGAATCCAAAGGAAATCATAGCAGCAGAGGTTTTCAGGATTCTTCTCCTTGGTTCAGGCTGTGCTTGTGTTTAGCAGGCACACAGTTCAGTTTTCATATATTTGTCCAGCTGAAAATTTTACTTGCATGGTATTCTATGGAAAAACTGATTGGTGTGGTTCAGGAAAGAATTTTAAGGATTTTTCAGAATTCTAATTGATTGACTTTTTTCAGGTAATTTACCATATATATAGTTTAGTTTATGAAATGTTTAACAGTTGCTAGTTTTCCAAGTAAGATTAATTATGCTAGGTACAGTAATTGTATTAGGTACAGTGTTTAGAAAAGGGTACTTGGACAAATTATTTAAATCATGCAGTGGAAAGAAATATATGTGAAGTAAATGGTCTTGTCATGTTTGGGGAAGAGTGGCTGGAAAGCTCCCTTGTGCAAAAAGACCTGGGGTGCTGATTGACAGTCACTGAACATGAGCCAGCTTGTGCCCAGGCAGCCAAGGCGGCCAACAGCATCCTGGTCTGTATCAGAAATAGCGTAGTCAGCAGGGCCAGGGAAGTGATCATCCCCCTGTACTTGGCACTTGTAAGGCCGCACCTCAAATACGGTGTTCAATTCTGGACCCCTCACTGCAAGAGAGATACTGAGTTGCTGGAGCGGGTCCAGAGAAAAGCAACAAAGCTGGTGAAGGGCCTGGAGCACAAGTCTGATAAGGAGCAGCTGAGGGGCCTGGGGTTGTTTAGCCTGGAGGAGAGAAGGCTCAGGGGGAACCTTATGACTCTACAACTACACAAATGGAGGATGGAGCAAGGAAGTGGCTGGTCTCTTTTCCCAAGTAATAAGTGATAGGACAAGAGGTAGCGGTCTCAAGCTGCGCCAGGGGAGGTTTAGATTGGATCTTAGAAAAAACTTCACTTAAAGGGAAGTGGTGGAATCACCGTCGCTGGAAGTGTTCAGAAACTGTGTAGATGAGGCCCATAGTAACTTGGTTTAGTGGTGGACTAGGCAGTACTGGGGTAAAGGTTGGACGTGATGATCTTAAAGGTCTTTTTCAACCTAGTTGGTTCTATGATTCATTATATACAAAAAAAACATCTTCTTGCTAATAATAAACCATGGAATTTTTTTTTTTAGTTGCTGGAGCGGGTCCAGAGAAAAGCAACAAAGCTGGTGAAGGGCCTGGAGCACAAGTCTGATAAGGAGCAGCTGAGGGGCCTGGGGTTGTTTAGCCTGGAGGAGAGAAGGCTCAGGGGGAACCTTATGACTCTACAACTACACAAATGGAGGATGGAGCAAGGAAGTGGCTGGTCTCTTTTCCCAAGTAATAAGTGATAGGACAAGAGGTAGCGGTCTCAAGCTGCGCCAGGGGAGGTTTAGATTGGATCTTAGAAAAAACTTCACTTAAAGGGAAGTGGTGGAATCACCGTCGCTGGAAGTGTTCAGAAACTGTGTAGATGAGGCCCATAGTAACTTGGTTTAGTGGTGGACTAGGCAGTACTGGGGTAAAGGTTGGACGTGATGATCTTAAAGGTCTTTTTCAACCTAGTTGGTTCTATGATTCATTATATACAAAAAAAACATCTTCTTGCTAATAATAAACCATGGAATTTTTTTTTTTTGAGAACTGATAGAGAATTGAATTAGGTGGGCTTGAGCTACTCAAGTCAGAATGGCTAATCCAAAAAGAACCTCCTAGATTGCTTCTAATCCTAAGGGTAATAAATTCACTCACTGCCTTCTCCTTGTTTAGCTTTTGTAGTGTCTTAGAGACATGTTGTAGCATGCCATTCCCATCCCAGCTTCAACAGGTCAGTTTATGACTTGCCTAAGATAAGTAGATATTTGTTTCGTTATCTGACATTGTAGGTAGTCACAGCAATCACTTACATTCAAGCTGAAGTTAAGTGTACATACAGAAAATGCATACTGTAACTATGGTAAATCAAAATCAGAGGTAGATATGGTAAATCAAAATCAGCAGTCTGACAGATAATATTAAGACTGTGTCCAGAAACCAAACTGCATTAAATAGTCATCTGATAAAATACTGTTTGAATATCTCTGTTGAACTTTTCCAGCTGACTAGTTGCAGGTGACTTTCTTTTCAATGTGAGGGGTTTTGTAGTGTCCTTGTATATGGGACTTACACCTTTCACATGTACTTTATAGGGTGCCTGTGCATCTCATGCTGGTGTAGTTGACTGCACTCTGAAAGACAGATTTGTAATAGCTACCAAAGTCCTTATTTTAATGTTGTTTCATATGTATGCCTTTTTATGAATATTAGTACTGTCTTACAGTTATCTCATTTTGTAAAAGCATGTTTGTGGTGATTGTGTATCTCGTTAACTCCACAGGTACACTCCATGTAGGGGATGAGATCCGAGAAATAAACGGAATCAGTGTGGCAAATCAAACTGTAGAACAGCTACAAAAAATGCTTGTAAGTGCCTGAAATCATTCTCATGTTCATTATAAAATCCTTTTTTCTTCTCTTCTTGATAGTCTACATATGTACGTAACACAAAGTCTTCCTGTGTTCAGCTGTTAAAGCCTTCTGCAGGCTCTCCCCTGTTTTTTAGTTGTGGGTTTTTTGTGCCTTATACCCAAAACTGGCACCTCCAGTTGTTATTTTATTTGTTCAGTTTAGTCCCACAGAAAAGACTGCTGATACCAAAGCATTCCTGAGAGATGTATGTAATGGAGGTTCCCCAAAGTCTCCAGGCAGTTGACTTTAGTGAACAGCTCTTCCGTGTTTTAGAAAGGTTTTTCTAATGTGTGAGTTTACTTTGTTGAAATGCAGGAGTTTCGTTTCTTTTCTCTGCTGGACATAACAGAAAAAAAATACTGCTTTCCTCCCGTTACTCATCCCAACATAATCTGTAAACTTCGTGCCCTTGTTTTAAATCTTCAGTCTACATCAAATGTAGTCACTGAGTATACTGTGAGAGAAAATAAGCTTTTCTTGACTATTGATATAGTTGTTACACAGATAAAAGGGCAATAAATCATAGAACCGTTCAAGTTGGATGTAACCTCAGAAGGTCTCCAGTGCAATCTCTTGCACAAAGCAGTGTCAACATTGAATGCAGCCCAGGTTGCTCAGGGCTTTGTGAGATTAAGCCTTGAAAATATCAAAGAACAGAAATTTGACAGGACAGATGCCTCTTTGGGCAGCCTGTTGCAATACTTAATTATCATCATAGAGAAAAAGTATATTCTGTACATGTAGCTGGAACATACCTTCTTTTAGTTTCTAGCTATTCTGGCTGATAGTTAATGAAGTTACAAAGAAAAAAGAAGAAAAATACAACATATTTTGAGCTCAGACAGTCTGGTTTTTTGCAGGAAAACTCATTCTTGGGCCTTGCTAGTAAAGTTTGATATTGTGTAACACTTGCAAACCTTTTCTGCATGCAACCCTCACGCTGGGATCTTGGATGATATCACTAATCCTTTAATTTTGTTCAGAACCATATGGACAAACTTAAGTGAATCCATGCAAAAAGCCTTTTTTTTTTTTTGGCTCACAATAAGCCAGCCAGAGAGAAGGAAACTCCAAGATTGCTTGAAGTGATCTGCTTACCTTTCTGCCCAGATCAAGTCCTGCAGTTGTCAGGCATGTGGTGGCACTTACATTCAAACTGTCATTTGATAAAATATGGCTGAGCAAGTATGTTGCCACAGTCTGCTGCTACTCTGCAGTTACTACTCGTTATGAATATTCTTACACTATAGTAAATGCAAACTAGCAGACCCCATGTTCTGTTTTGATGAAAGACTATTTCTTACATTTCTACCTTTAGTACAGTAACATGCAGCTTTTCAGAAACTGTGAATATGCTTTTGCTACCTAAAATGTATGATGAAAAGGAAGAAAATGTCACTTTAGCAGCAAAGACTCTGGATCACAAGAATATAGCTACAAAGAAAAGACTGACATGGAAGAAACCTCCACATCTCTGAATCTCTCACCTTAAAATGCAGCTCTAGGTTCTAGGCATTCGAAATCTGTCCAGGCTAACAAATTAATAACGTTTGTTTATCTTTTAGATGAATGAGAGGAAATTTAAATGTTTGCTTATAAGTGAAATGGCAAATTAGCCATAGCATTTTAGCTTTTCTGAATATTTACTTTAGCAAAACATACTACTGCTCTCAAACTATGATGCTTCCAAGCATTAGTGATTTGGAGATTCTATTTTCAGTATCTTAGTCTTTAAAGAAGTACTTCTCTTTTCACAGAGGGAAATGCGTGGAAGTATTACCTTTAAGATTGTGCCAAGTTACCGCACGCAATCTTCGTCCTGTGAGGTAATGAATTTAATGAACCATCCCATTTCTTCCTCAGTCCTGTAACTAACTGCCTGCTGATGGCTGAATGTTACTGCTTTCTGAGAAATTGTTTCTGCCTGTCCTGTTAGATCACGCACACCAATTTTACAACAAAGATAACGGAACACGAGTAGGTCCCTCCTACCTACTCAGCCCTGCCTTCATATTCATCTCATCAGCACCTTAACTAACTCTTTACAGCCTGGTGGTTTGGTGGGTTTTTTTAATTTAAAAAAAAAAAAAAAAAGGAAAGGGGATCCTCAACTCATGCATTTAGGAAGCCCCTTAAGCCCCTTTAAAATAAATTACCGTTTAAACTTATTCTCCAGGAAGTCTATTAAAGTTCCTAAGTTGAGGAACAATCCTTTTTTTAGACACTGAACATTATTTTACTGCTTTGGGCTGTTAAGGGTTAATTGAAGAATTTGTTTCTGTATAACCCTGTTGAGGTAAATTTGTGATGGTTGTCTGTAACAGTTACATGTGGCTTAATATTATGTTTCCATGAAAAAATGGTATTGTCATTACAGAAGAAAAACAGAGATGGAATGAGTTCTTGTTGAACTAGAAACTTGGTATTACGGTTTGTGCACAGTAACATTTAATTCCCTTCTGCTCACGAAGTTATGTTCCAGATTGCAAGTGAAGGGAATTAAATTCTAGAAAATGCTACTTCAGAGTACTGTTCCAATTTAAGCATACAGATGGCATATGCAGTAGGTAGATGATGCCAGTCTTTCCTGCCACATGCTTAACTGCGCAAACAGTTCCCAAATTAGAATTCTGAGAGTGAAATCACAATCCCTGTTGAAGTCAAGCACCTTATCTTAATTAGAGCTGTGATTTCACCCAAATAGTTTTTGTGTCTCAGCAGACGCTAGAACACACAGAAACTGCTATTGTGATTATCAGAACAATCTGTTTGTGAAAAAAAAATTACTGCCTTTTGGTTGCCTTCTGTACTTCTAATAGAAGTACAAGAACTAAAAGGTTTTAGGGATAGAAGGTTTGACAAATTTTCACCTATGAGGCTGATTTTCTTAAAAGGTATAAATACGAAAGCAAAAGATTTTCATGAAAAGCATTAGAAGAAATAAAAATAGAAATTTTAGAGTGTGCTGGCAAATATATCTATTGACTCTTGTCCTGTAAATAGTAATAATAAAAGATATCTCACTTCCCAATATTTAAATACAGAAACTGGTGAAACTATAGACCTGCTGGGAAGATGATTGTTTGGAAAAACAAATTCAGCATACAGTTTTAAATTAATACCATTAGGTGTCATTTTAGTAGTAGCCGGTTGTCTTTTTTCATTAGCTTTGTGCCCTTAGGTTCTTCATGACTATTTATTTCACAGAAAAGAGAAAAATGGACTCTTACCTTCCTTTGGAAAAAAACAGCAAAACTAGAAATGTGTGGTCGAATACGGGGGAGGGGAAGCATGTCTAATTATCACACTTTGTGGCATTTAGCATTCATTTAATCAGAGGTGGCTGAATCTGTGCCACCTGCTCAGCCACACTATGACTTTGGCTAGATTTTCAACTGTTACAGGTGTACACACAAAGCCAACATTTTTAAATCACCTTATTAAATTAAAGCATCACTAGTCCTTTGGCACAAATAGATACTTTTTTTTTTTTCACAGAATTTTTCAGGATTGTGATTCACATGATGAATCAAATTCTTAACCATTGTCAAAACTAAACATGAATGTTGAAACACTTTACTAAGACACAAAAAGTCTGCTTTGCATGCTCTCTAGCAGGATAAATGCAGAGATATTGGGTCTTCGTTAGTATAATCTTACTAGTTAAGGTATTTTTTTGCAATATTTTAGTATAAATTTATGTTTGGTGTCCCATCCCCCTTCACCCTCCCTACTTCAGTCATGGACTGGTGCACATGTAGTATAGTTTTACAAAAGAGGAGTATAGAACAGAATTGATAACTGGGGATTTTTTAGTCTCCTACCATGATCATGTCATTGGATTGCAAAACATCTTGTTAATCCTGAATAAGAAAGACTAAATATATAGTAAAATCACAGGTGATCTGCCTTTTACAAAGAATGTCTATATGCCTCTATACACAAAGCTATAGAGGAGGGGCACAGGATGTTATTTTTTTTATAAGTAATTGAGAATTACGTTTCACTTGCCATATTTTTCTTCTTTTGTAGGCATTTAAGAGAGGTGTTGTAGTAGTGTTTTCTGAATATTAAACCACTTTTGCATATCTAGGGAATTCTTGTCCCTGTAGTCTGTAATGGTACTTCAGTGTCACTAGGCAGTTTCCAAAATCTCAACTGAATAATTTCAAGTTTCTTGGGGATTTGTGGCTTTTCCTGCACCCATGCTTTCCGTTCAGTTACCTGGCCTAGTGTTTCATGGAGTAGATTTTGCTTGAATACATAATACTTATGAATTCCCTTGTATAAAAATTTTATTGGCTGATCTACTCTGAGGTGACCTGTTTAGCCATTGGTGTGGCAAATGACCCAAGTTACTCAGATTCTGAGATAATGCAGTGGCCAGGATGTTTTCTGCTTCAGATACCCAGGAAATTAGAGTTACATAAATATGAACTTAAGTAATTATTGCAACACATTCTTCTTATGGCTGATGGCTGCATTTGCTGTTTCAGCTTTATCCAACTGAGTAAGCACTTTGCTTCAGCTACATTTGCATTCTTACTTTGTACTGACAACACTCCAATAACCTTTTATAGTGTCAGATATACGAGAATGGTAAGGGAAGCACTTTTGTTTTTTTCTTTTTTACAAAACCAAAAATTGTTTCAGATCATCTTTGTGAAACACTTAAGCTGTTTCATTAAGAAGAAATGCTTTTTTATATATGATATAAATGATGTAAATATATATGTATGATTTTAAAAATCTGGCCATAACCACCATGGATTTTTTCCTTTAGTCTTGCAATGGTTCCATTAGTGCTCAGATCATAAGATTTTTATAGTCATAAACCTTTTTTACATTTGTATTAAAAATACTGCCAGGTAGATTCCTTGAGCAAGGCTGAAATTGAAATGTATTTTCAGAATTTTGAAAAGTCTCTCTCTCTAGTTAAGTTATTGCGGAAATACAATAACACTTCTACAGTACTCAGATGTTGGATCCTCCAAGTGTTTCTCTGCTCTTCTCCTCATGAACACCAGTGCTTTTTCTGATACAGTGGAGAAACAAACTCACAACCACAACTGAAGTTTTCCAGTCCTGTTCTAAGCAGTCCTAGCATTCTACAGGAATCTCTCTACTGATTGATTTGTTTCATTAGATTGTGCACAATGCAGTTTTTCTCTTAACATTTGAGTCTGATACTTAGGAAATTAAGAAACTTAAAGCCTTTGAAATCCAGGCTGAAATGCCTAATCATTTAAAAATTGTACATATGCCTGTTGACTAGCTTGATTGATGGATTAATTTCCTACAGTTAGTACTGAAATCACCAGTAGCACTGAAAATGTGTATTTTCCTCAATATGGTATGATGAACAGTTGCCTTGAGTAATATTCTGTATTCTGTTGAGAATTGTTGGAGGAATACAAATCAAAACATTCTCAAACCAAGAAAATTTCCTTCAAAGGGAGAAGCCTTGAAGAGTCCAGAAATAGTGGCATTCTCCACATTACTCTAAACTTGTTTTTCTCCAAATTACTTGGGTGCTTGCATCACTTTCCAAAACTTTCCCTTGCTAAACTATCACTTGACTAGCAGATCATAACAAATTAGGTAAAAAAAAAAAAAGGCAAGAAAAAAAGGTAAAATTAATTTTTCACCTCTTGAAAGTGAGAAAATGACACAGAGAATTGCATAGCAAGCAGAAACTCTCTTTACAAAAGAAGGAAGCCACTGCTTTTTTGGAAAAAGTTATCTACTAGCTGCTGTCTGACAAAGGTGATGCTGATAATTCTGTACCCAAAAAGAAATAGGAATAATAGTTCCTTTAGGCTTTTCTTTTTTCTTTTTTTTCTTTTTTCCCAGTAATGAATAGCTTATATGGTCTCATTTGAACATTTTAAACTGGAGTGATTTTGTAGATAGAATTATAAATGATTTCCCCTAGTCTGTCATTGCATGTTGCAAATAGTTGTGGGAGGCAAATGAGTATTCTGTTCTTATGCGGGTAGCAGAAGTATACAGACCTACGTACTTTGAACCACAATGATTTTAGAGCCATAATATTGTCAGATCTGTCCTCAACTGTATGAAAATCAAACCAAGTATCTCTACAACTGCATATTGAACTTACTGTGAAATCATATCTAATGAGTCCACAAAAAAGTGCAGAAGTCCTACATGAGGTTGTTGTATATCAAGCATACAGGTAGCAAGAGGGACAAAGTATGGCCTGTCATTTTAACTTTTCTTGATGCTTTAAAATAGCTGAGTGTTATCACATAATTAGTATAAGCTCAAGAATATTAATAGAAAACCCTTGCCTGACTAATGTTGCATGAACAATTTAGCTCCAATTCTGGTTTTTAATTTCTTCACAGAGGGCACTTACATTGACAAAATATGACAGGGATAACTTTGGTTTTTTTGACAAATGTTATAACCCTTTTTTTCTGCTAACCTTGACATTATGCAAAATTACCAGACATTCCTAAATTGACCTTTGACATGGAATATTATATTCCAAAATTCTTTTGGGGGTAAAGAGGATTTTCCCCCCCACCATCCCCCCCACAGTGTATGAGTGAATTATTGAATTATTTTATTTCCTGAAGAGGTGGCTCAATTACCTGATCTTATGGAATCAAGTATCATACAATCAAAATGGCATGTGAAAAAGATTGCTCTACAAGTTACTTCTTTGCCTATGCAAGACCCAGTCAGAAATTCCTGTTATCCTTTCTGTAGAATTTCTTGCTATGCACCCTGCATCTGCTGTCTCCTTACTGAAATGGAGGACGACACTGGAGTCTGGAGTCATAAGAGGTGGTTTTTTTTTAAAAGTGATATATTTTGGCAAGGTTTAACACATTCAAGCCTATAAGAATGTTGGAGGAGAAAACCCTCAGTGAGCTGTAAAATGAATGAGGAAGTACAAGAGAGTATCCAGCTTCCTTCTCTCAGGTGTTAGCTTCAGTGTCTTTGAGGCACTGCAGAGAGATGGATCTTACAGAGCAGAAACCAATCAACACTGACCACCATCAACAGCTGAAAGAAAATTTAAAGGCATCTTTAAAATGGAACATGTACCTCATTCTATTCAATGTGTTACTCAGCATATAACTTTCAGGTAATTATGGTAATTACCTTTAACAAAGACACCTGTATGACTAGTGGCCTTTAGCATTGTCAGCCACATGAGATCTAAGAGGTCCCAGATATTTAGTAATTAAAAAGTTAAGGCAATATCTAGGATAAATCAAAATGTCAAACCTGAATCTTACACTGTGGAAAAACTTACCAGATTTTTGGAGTTCGTGGTGTGGAAACTTTCACAGATAAAGCAGCTAAGCAAATGGTTATAAGGCTGTGGATGTAACTGTTCTTTTAAATATATCTGTGTTCCTGTGATAGTGTTGTGTTGTTAATGAACCTTGTGTCTTATTTCAGAGAGATTCCCCCTCTACATCCAGACAGTCCCCAGCTAATGGTCATAGCAGCACTAACAATTCTGTTTCGGTAAGATTTCCAGTTCCACACAGAGAAAGTGTGAAAGTTTTGTTGGTGCTCATCTGCCATTACTGTGATACTTATTGTGTGGTCAGTGGAATATTTTGTCCTGATGATAGAACCAGGGTTATTACATATGTAATTCCCCATTTTCTGTTTTTAAGGGTTTTTTTCCAACATACTCTTCTCATTAAAAGCCATATAGTGAATTAAATGTTAATAACTGTAATGTGACAGTCATCCTTAAATCGTTCTTAGCATTTTCCTCAAAACTGAGCAAAGGTTTAAAGTGGAAGTTTTGTTTCCATCCTGAACTTTGGAAGCAGTGTTTGAAGAAAGAATAACTGTGCAGTTGGTATTTCAAGATATTTTAGACACTTCTGAGTTTTGTGTTTTGAGAGACCTCTGGAATGCGTACTGGTTTCCGCTATCTGAGTTAACGAATTGGTGTGCCCTCTGCTGTTGTGGTACGTGCACATACTTTGTGAAATATAAGCCTTGCCTGGATATGAAAAGCAAAAGGAAGTGGCTTTAAACTGCACTACAAACCAAGCTGTTATCATCACATCTTTAACACAAAGTACTTCTGTTCCATATGTATTCAGATAGAAAGGTGCTGTTGATCTGCTGGTTTTCTACAGTATATTTATGTTAAAATTTGTCTTGTTTTATCATTTGTCATCGTTTGGACCAATGTAGTAATGATACACACAAGTCTCTTAGTATGAGTGCTGTCAATATTATGAGTTCATAGTTGTAGCTAAAAAAAACAACAAAAAAAAAAACCAAAAAAAAACCCAAAAACAGAGTAACTACTCCTTTGACTATTAAAAAATTACAACTTAGAAATTATTTGCCACAAGGTAAAGTGCTCATTAATTAATACAATTAAAAAATAATCGAAATAGTTGAAAAATTTAAGAAATTTTTGTGAATTAAATTTCATTTGTAACATGATTAGTAGTTATAATCTTATTCCTCAGCACAATTACTTAACTCACAGATTTTTAATAACTTTTTACTATTTATAATAGCCAACCTTCTCTTTTAAAAATAAGACTAAGTATTAAGTGGAAAAGGCATTCACTTAAAGAGCCTCTTTCACTTGCTGGTGCTTTTGTGTTGAAGATGCTGAATTATTTATTAAAAAGCACATTCTCTATCTGCTTAAACTTTTTACCTGCTTTCTTCAGCTTGCTGCTAAACAGCCTGGGTTTGATTTTTCTTTAAGAAAAAAAAATATTTCTAAACATGGGTCAACGCTTTATACTTTTGTCTGACTTACCATTTTACTGTAATGTAGTATGAATCACTAACAAATGGTATTGTATACCCTTAAAAAGTAAAATGAAAATTTCTTCTCCTGGGTTGACTTTATTCTGCAGGACTTGCCATCGACAACACAACCAAAAGGACGACAGGTGAATAGATATCCTCCATGGGAATTTTTGTCAACTTAGCTGCTAGTGAACATCCCTGCTTATCTTTTTTTTCTGTATGTGCTGGACTAAAACACTTAAGCTTGGAATATTTGTTCCTTTTTTTTTTTCCATTTTTCTTTTTAACTCATTTGTTTGTGGCTAATTCAAAATAGCATTTTTTCATGTGTCCATATATGTGAAAGTTTCAAAATCATTGTAAATTTAACTAGAGATGTTGGTTTAGTTCAGAATGCATTAATAGACTTACTGTTGTGCAGTTACCTGTGCAGATTTTCAATTTAGAGGAAAGCTCGACTTTATATTTTAGCTGAAATGGAGACAAGTAGGGCAAGTGTCTAATACTTTACTCTAAAACATTGTACTGACAAAGATTCTAAAGCTTAAGTTGGTCAATAACTAGTCATTAACATTAACAAAGCTCTTCAAAGAAAAACATTAAGGACAGTTTCTATTAATGATTGACAAGTCTGAAGACAGCCTCTTAAATTTTCAGTCCTAAGGCCTAGATTCATTAACCTCCCTTAACTTGACCTGATGGTAGTACATCTCATCATGGACCAAAGAAAGATCTTCCCTCTCCAGAGAATTCCAAGAAAGCCCTTGAGGGCTCTTCAGAGGATTTCCTATGATTCTTTTTGCAATTTCAGTAATTTTTTTTATTTTTTTTTACTGCAGCCTCCAAATCAATACATACCATCAAGTGATTTGCATTCCATCTTCAGTAACTTCTCCATTTATATATAGCCCTTCCAGAATATGCCTCTGAATCTTTAACTGTGGACTCAGCCTCTTAATCTAGCAACTCTTGCAATTCCATCCAAGAGTCAATTAACTCCACGATCTGTTGTCTTTGAAAATCTTTTTACACTACCGCCTAGTTAAGTTGGCTGGAATATCTATTACAAGAATGGATTGCTTTCACTTCATTTCCCGTTTTTAAAGCTTACAGCTGTATGTTTTTTTCAACTTTATGTTGTCTTCTGAAATTTCCAGCTGAAAAGCCTTAGGTTTTCATTTGCCTCTCATAAGGTGTTTTTTTTCAGGAGAAGAGACTTTGTTCAAGGCAATATCAGAATAATGGTGTTCCTTGTACTTATACCATTTACATTTACCTGTTTTTTTCAAGAGTCTTTTCCCATTGAACCAGCATATTTTTCTGGTAGCTTGTATTCCTTGAAGACAGTAAGGGCTTGGATAATAGATACATTGCTATTTGTACAAAACTCTGTTACATTCCATGAACTGCCAATATATAGTGGATAATGGCCCAAAATGGGCAGGGACTTGAAAATCGAGGAAGTTTCTAGATGGTAAAAATACTGCTTACATTTCTAGACCTATATTATATAAGGTTAAGGGGAAGTAAGAGATTGGTTCATTACTGATTACACAATAGAAAGCCAATTACTGCATAAAAATAATTGGTTTCAAAAGATCCTATTTTTCAGGTAACTGAAAGAAGTTGGGTTACTTATTTGAACTCTCACACTCAATGGACAGCAGAACAAGGGTCAGATTTAGTATATTACATGTTAATTTATTTGTAGATTGGGTTGCAGATTGGACTACTATAAAAATTCACTTTTTAACTGCCATGAATAGTGCTAACACTGCATAGTTATAGCTCTTTTTGAAGCAGAATTTGAGCAAAGCTGAAAAGTGCTAGTTGCAGTTTAAATGAAAGATATGACTTTGCAATGTAATTAATTTTTTTTTTTAGTCTAGTCAATTTTTAGTAAGAAAATCAGCAGTAGCATAAACATGGCCATCTGAGATGCTATAGGGTGATGTTTGAAGTTCATGAGCAATAGAAATTACCCACCTTGGACACTAAATTTAATTCCGATTTTAAGATCCTTGGATGCATCAGGGCTGTAATTAGCAGCCAGAACTGGAGATCACTTCAATTTTTGTTTTCTGGAGTTGAGACCTCACAAACACACAAAGCAAGGATCGGTATATTATTTTAAATTGTCAAGACAGAATCTGAATTCTTTCTGTTAATGTTCCTTAGATAATAACTTACCCGCATTGTTAGTTTTCACTTATATGTGAGTAGACTTTTACTGAAAAACCCATGCAGAGAATTCCCAGATTCCTCCCAAGTAACTATATGTGGTAGGTGCAACAGAGGACTTCCTGTTAAAGCTTAGAAAAAGTACTGATTTTTCAGTCTAAATACAAAAGATCAGTACTGTAGCCTAAATCCTTTATATTCTCCAATAAAATTTCCTGTCATGCAAATTTTTAAATCATAGGACTTTAGTTGGAAAGTACAGCACAGTTCAGCTGTAAGCTTCTGGCTTATAGTCTGTAATACTTCATGATACTCAATATTGATTTTAGGGATTCTTAGCAGTTTATTACACATGTTCTTTTTTGCTGTCAGGTTTTGCAGTATGTAGAAGACTGCTTTCAAAATAACATCATATGTCTCCATTGTTTGTTGGGGGGGGTTGTTTCATTTTCAGCTATCGCTCAATCACTCATGCTTTTGCCATTCTGTTTCTTCCTTTGCTTGTTGCAAACAGTATGTGTAGCTACATGCACAGAACAAATTTCCACCTGTTACTCTTAATACTGTACCAGTAATAATATTGCAGTGTCTTTATAAACTCTTTTTTATAGATATATGTAAGAGCACAATTTGAATATGATCCAGCAAAGGATGACCTCATTCCTTGCAAAGAAGCTGGCATCAGATTCCGAGTTGGTGATATTATCCAAATCATTAGCAAAGATGATCATAACTGGTGGCAGGGTAAACTTGAAAACTCAAAAAATGGTACTGCAGGTCTTATTCCTTCTCCTGAGCTTCAAGAATGGTATGACTTTAAGCTTTCTTTAAAAATTAATTTGGCTTTGCTTTTATTTCTGTCTCCCATGCCTTTCATTGTTGTATAGCTTGGTTTTGTATAATTTTTTCTTTTTTCAGGAAAAAAAGTGTCTGTATTGCTTCAGTTTGTGTGGCATTGATTTTCTGGGGTTTTTTGTACATGCGTAGCAGTAAGGGTTACATGCAGTATCAGATGTGTGGTTACATTAGAAAAATAAACACCTGTGTAAGTAAACATTGTTTGTGCTTTCTAATATACTACAGGAAACTAGGCTTGAAGGCCACATACAAATTGTTTATGTAAAAGGGGGCCAAATTAATTTCTATTTTAGGTTCTATACAGTGTTTTCATTAGTACTGCTTACAAGTGCTGCAAGAATAAAGTGTTAGCAAGACATCAAGAACAAAGGTCACTGAGGGAGTTTTATGATTTCTCTCCTTTTCATTTTTCATGTGAAAGATAAAAAGTAGAAAGAAATCACAGTGCAAAGATTCCTGAATGACAGATTCAATGAGCAGCAACGACACTGAGTATCAAAAGAGCAATGCAGAACTTTTAAACAACCTCTTGCAGGAGCTGTTTACTAAATATTTGAAATATATCAGCACAAACTCTGAAACAAGTACTGGGCCATGAAAGTTATGGCCATAACTCAAGAAAGGGTATCAATATGGAGAATATAGCCCAAAATGTTTCATACAAGATTTGCTACATAAAAGAATTTGAGTGCTATAAGGCTTTAACAGCACCTATGCCACCTGGACTGGCTAAGGGAGATTTTACTTAGAAGAGAAACAGAGGTAGACTATACATTCCATCTCAAGAGCTCCCTTGCAAGCCCTGACATAGGTGGAACACTGGTACACATTGCAACAGGAACACCTGCAATACTTCATCCTAAAGATCGAACTCAGAACACTTCCACAACTTAACTTGCTCTGAAGTAATTTAGAACATAGTGGTCTTTTCAGGCCTCATGTTCTTCCAGTCTGATCTGCTGCAAAGTGGTCTACTGCCATTTTAGTAGCTACTCTTCCTCCCATGCTCACTTGATCTGTGAGCTTTAATTATCTACCGCTAAGAAGATACTCTTTATATCAAAGTGGGTTTAAGTCATTAAGAAAAGATTTTGAAAGGTTTTACTGTACTCTTGTGCTATTAAAAAAAGTCTTACTTTTCTAACACATTGTGTGGCTTTTTAAAAATCATTGATTACAACAAAAAATTTTTTTCTCCTTCATATGCCAGGCGAGTTGCTTGTATTGCCATGGAGAAGACCAAACAGGAGCAACAGGCCAGCTGTACTTGGTTTGGAAAGAAAAAAAAGCAGTACAAAGACAAATATTTGGCAAAGCACAATGCAGGTATGAAAAACAAGATGCAAGTATCTTCAACAGGTTAAATTTTTCACAATCTAAACCTTGCCACTAGTTGTTCAGCTGGCACTGTTACATAAACCTCATGAGGTACTTAGGAAAATACAAGTAAAATTCTAATTATTACATCATTACTCTGCTTTTACTTTGCTATTTAAACACATAGCTTAATCAGTGAGAGGCAAGCAACAAAAGAAATGCATAATAATATATCCTAATATAGGCTATAGATGCACCAATTAAGTAATATAAAACTGTATTTTCACATTTCTTCTTACCTGTGCAATCTTTGTGCAGCATCGGAACTCACAATGTATCAGTGCTACGGAATTTATGTTTCCTTAAAAGTAATTTGAAAATAAATTCTAAGAAAGTCAAAGAACAGTAATAGTCATTTATATTCCTTAATTCACCATCACATTTAAAGTATTTACAGTTAAATATAAAATTACTTGTTACCCTGAAAACCTTTATAAGTACAGATTGAAAGCTTTAACTTGTTTCCTTCCTTTTGCTGCTTTAACATTCTGTTTGGTTTAATGTTTCCACCCATTGGCAGTAGCACTAAATCATGTTTTACTAATTATGACCTTAATAAAAAGTCTTGGGAATAAGTTGGTTTTTATGACCTAAAGTCTTTGGCAATGCTGCTTTTGAAGTATTTTCAGCTGCTTCCAGCATACATTCCCACATCACTGCTGCTCCCTTCAGTTGTGGCAGTATAACTCTGTGTGGCTTAGAGTATAACTCTAAGTGGATTGACTGAAGAACCACCCGACAAAAAAAACGTTGATTTGTTTTCTTTAAGGCAGATACATTTCTTAATATAGTTAATAATGGCAGTGTGGCTAAGCACAGCATACCACAAAGGAGTAAGCAAAGGAAAGAGGATGGCCAGAGAAGGAGCAGGCAATACTTCAGGAGCAAAACTAGCTCAAAGACTTTCTATCAGTTAAACCCCTCTGTGCTGTGTGGGGCTTAGTTGCCAGCTGGGGCTAACCCTGAAAGGAAGCTGATCTAGACTTCCCTGTCTTGATACAGGAAGTCCATTTTGGAGAAGGTTGACAGCACTTTGAGTTGCACAATTTGCCTGCCTTAGTGCTTTTCACCATCAGCGCTGTTACTCACTTTACATCAGAGCACAGTATTTGCCAAAAATTAGAAACATGGAATCATAGAATCAACTAGGATGGAAAAGACCTTTAAGATCAAGCCCAACTGTTACCCCAGTTCTGCCAAGTCAGCCACTAAACCATGTCACTAAGGGCCTCATCTACACTGTTTCGGCACTTCTAGGGACAGTGATACCACCACTTCCCTGGAAGCCTGTTCCAATGCCTGACACATGAGTATTAAAAATGATGATAAAGACCATAAAAGAAACTGTTCTTTTCCAAATACCATCTGACACTTTCCCTTCCCCCTCAGAAGTCAAAAGGTTAATGAAAGCACTGATTACAATCACAATTTCTCTTAGACGTGTTCATTGATCTTCATGTCCTTGAGGTACTAAAGGTGATGCCACTAATATTCCAGAGGATGATGCCAAATGTAGAATATAAAGAGGTTCACTGAAATGCTACGGTGCTCGCTTATGTTTAAGTAAGGTGGTACTGAATTTGCCTTCTCTGAACTAGTTGTAGTATGGTTAGTCAGAAATACAGCGACACTGGCTTTTGCAAGCTTTCAGTGCATCTGTCTCAGAATAAAAGCCAGATTTTCTCTTCTGTTGGATTCAAAATAAGTATGATTAATTTGGCTCTGAGAAGTCTAATCAAGATGTCAAAATGTTTCTCTTACAATAAAGTAGAATTTATTTCCCTTACATCTTAGTATAAAATTCAATAAATCGTTTAGCAATGTGTAATCTATTTGGACTTGCATGTTATTTTTGTCTTAGGGATGAGACTGAACTGAGGTACTGAGAAATGGTCTAGTACAATATTCTATTGTCAGCTCTGTGTGGCTAGGTAATGATTTGAGAGCGAAGATTTTGGTGTGATATATTGGGATATTACTGGAACTAGAAATTAAATTATTCTGTAGATCAGCCATAATTTATGAAGTAAAGAGGAGAATATTTCAGTTACTTTTTATAATTAAATGCAAATATATTCTCCTCTACAAGAAAAATATCCTGGTTTTCTTTCCTCCAAACTTTGTATTAAAGTATTGTGTCTTTCAAGAGACAGTTTCACAATCATGCATCTTATTATTGTAAAGTCAGTTTTAAACCAAAGTCCATAGAAAAGAAGAAAATAACTGTTTTTCATCATTAGTCTGACATTTTTATAAACGCTCTAGAGAAATACTGCAGTGATATCTAGATATATTTTTTATTTATTTTACTGAAGTGTTATTGCAGGACTTCATAAAGAGCAGTCTTTAGAACATACTAGAACTACACTTCATATTATGCATAATGTAGAAAATTGCCAAGCTTTTATAAAATATGTTTATCATTTCTTAATGTGATTTATTTGCCTTGTGTTTAGACTATTGCATGGTAAAGTTTATTTTGTGCATATACTTTTTATTTTACTAATATATTACAAGCCATATCTCAATGACCCCTGTACATTTTTCATGCTGTCTTACTCCCAATGGCCTCTGTGCATGTAAGTAACCTGTCAAGTGACAATGCCTCTTTATTTGCTTCTTACTGTCTCCTTTCAAGATCTCCTTTTCTTTATTAGCTAGTAACACAGAAGCATTAAATTTCAGTCTTTAAATGTGCCCTGTATTCCTCATATCTTGCGTATATTAAAAAATTAATCATTTTTCTTTTGCATTTGAAAACCCTAAAATCATTAGTTAAATCCATGTCTACTGAAACACATCTTCTTCATGCTGCTAGTTTTTGATGAAGGCATTAATATGTATCATTTCTGTTGTTGATTCCTGTTGTTTGTATCTAACATGCTGTGGTTTTGTTCAAGAAGACAATAAAGGATTGATTTATTTTTTTTTAATTTATTTTCTTTAATGGGAAAAGATACTTGCCAGCCTAGATGGTTAGAATGGTAAAATGGTTTAACGTGTTGCAGATCTGTAGCGCTTTCTAATATGAAAGGAATTATTAATCAGTTTAAATATTGTGAAGTTGCAAAAAGGACTGTAGTAAGTAATTCCATGTATGTGGAATGGAAGAAAAATATGACTAAATTCTTGCTTTTAGTATTTGGGGAAAGGTTGAAAGAGATTTTTCTTTAGGATGAAATTCAAAATGCTTAAAATGGACTAAGAAGTTTTCATATCTGTATCTTTTCAAGGTCTTAAAGCTAAGTCAGTTGACTTGATTTGCAGTTTGACCAATTTGAAGTAGTTACACTTTTTTTCTTTGGTAGAAAGACTGACACTGAATTGAAAAATCTGCCCTGTAAAAAGAAATTCATTAAATTAAATCCTTTGCTGCTTTAACTGGGACTTTATTACAAAAAGCATGCACCTGCTGGTATGCTCCACAGTCTTAATGCTGATCTTGGTGGCTGGGGACTTCTGGAGCAAGCAAACTAAAGCTTCCACCACTACTTTCCTCTCAGGGGTTTTGGAAAGGGGGAAGACGGATATATCCAGACTTATCCTAAAAGATGGATGGGATATAGTTGAGGTTAATACACCAGCTTAGGACTGGGAAACATTCAGAGATCCCATACTTCAGATGCAGTCTCTCCTCCCTTCTTTTCATAGCATGCATAAATACAGAACTGAAAACTCATTCATTATTCTGCTCACAATTGCTGATTGCTGTAATCTTTATAAATGTATTTAACAACCTCCTGGCTTCTTTTTTCATTAGAATTCTTCAAGAATTAACAAAGATGATGTATTATTGGGCACAGGAGGAATAAGCTGTTTTTCATGAACAAAACTTGATTTGTCAGTCCTTGTGTACTTGGGCAATTGACAATAGGCTGATAGGCATGATGGAATTCATCCAATTTCAACTACAGTTGAAATTCTGAAATTGTACTTTACAATTTTTCCCAAAATATGGTGGAGGTTCTTTAATGTAATGCCATCACTTTTCATTAGAATTCTTCATTCTGTCACAAGTTTTAAAAGCATGTCCATTTAACTAGCATGTGTGTTTAAAGAGAACTCTAATTGCAATTAATACGGTGGTAGTTTTGAAGAATAAATACCACAAAGTATTAACACTCTTCTCTATACATTTCTCATAAATCTTGTTAAAACATGATTATGAAAATATCCCTGTCTTTAGTGTAAATAGATGTTCTCACATTGTATTCATGTTGGTCCCTGTCTACTGATTTTTCTTTAGTTCTGCAATTTCTTAGGAATGCAAACATGAATGGCATGCCATTTTAGCTAATTTTGTGGTCTGCTGAATGCTGCATGAAAGGACATGCAAACTTTCCTGAGCATTTCAGTACCTTTTCCATTACTTTTTAACAGTTTTTTTAAATGAATAATTTTGTTAAAATTGCATAATGAAATGGTTTTATTTTCCATAATACATTACTTTGTTTTGTAAATCTAAAACTTGCTAAAATTATAATTTGTAGTACAATTAATTATTACCTTTAATATGCCTTTTTTTTCTTATCCCTGTGGGGGTTTCTTTTGTATTTTAGTGTTTGATCAATTAGATCTCGTCACATACGAAGAAGTAGTAAAACTGCCAGCATTCAAAAGGAAAACGCTAGTCTTACTAGGTAATTTTGAGTTATTATTCTGAACACAGTAGCGTAGTTTTGCATCTTTTCTGGTGGAATATTTGTAATTCATTTTTGTGTTGTGGATTAGGTGCACATGGTGTTGGAAGAAGACACATAAAAAATACACTCATCACAAAACACCCGGACAGATTTGCTTATCCCATTCCTCGTAAGTAGCAACGTTCAATGTACTGCAAAATTCTTTGTATCATCCTTGACAACACACCTATTGTACTACTACATGTGTTCAGTTCTGCTGAGACAAATCCTATTTTAGAAGTGGGAACTATGATAGGACTGGGTGTATTTCTTCTTTTGTTTTTTTCAGGGAGAAGTGTCGTTAAGTAGCACCACTTCTACATCGCATGTTTCTTAATCTCCACAAACGTTCTTGTTAAGCATACGTCTCTCTAACATAAAGATTTATTAATTTAGAATGAAGGTTAAAACATTTTTTTTGTGTGTGTGAACTTTATAATTACAGTTCAGTTAAGACTGGAACAGCCTTGACATTTAAAACTGTGGATAGTTCCCATGAGAAGAAATATAAACTGGATTTCGAGGATTTTATGTGTACCTTATCTGAATGTTTTACACCACTTTTCACAGCCTAGCTTTGAGGACTGGTATTACACTAAAATAACTTCAAGTTTCCGGAGACAACAATAAGAAAAAGAAAACTCAATTAACTTCACTATTTACAAGTGGGTTGTTATGAAGAGCACTGAAGTGTTTTCCTTTCATGACAACCTCTATCAATACAATGGCAGGAATTGCATATCCTACTACATAATCTCTTGGAGATGCACTCTTTTTCCTCAAGATAGGCATTCTGAAACAAGAGTGTTCCAGCAGCTTAATCTATCCACTCTGTTTCAGGCTGACTTCAGAACACCACATGGCTCAGAAGTGACATTGATGACTATTGTGCATTAATTCAATTTTCTTTATACCTTTAGTTAGTGCTTTACTTCGAAATGGCACATGGGTGGTTTTCTGCCTATAAGGATTTTGTTGTTGCTAAAAAATACTATTTTTAATAACTTATCTGCAAACCTATTTGGAAAGGGAAAAGGATTAGGTGGCTGCTGATTTTAGTTCCCCAGGCTTGCTTGCTAAGGAGTTAGACAATGACCAGTGTCAGCAGAAGGAAAACAGAAAAACCTAGCCCTTTTAAAAGCACGAGCCATTGGATCACCCCAGCAGCAATGTCAAAGTGCACTGTTTGTTGCACTATTGTTTATATCTAGACACTAAAATCCTAGATTAGACACTTTAAAAGTGCAGTGCCAGGAGTATTCGATAACGTTGTACCTATTGTTAATTCAATACAGACAAGATTATATGGGGGGAAGGGAATAGTAACCCAGCAAATATGTTCTCCATTTCAAAGAACTAAAACAAAAAGTAATACATGCTTTACAGTATGCTTTGCATCCAGTCTCTCTCAAGTACTAACTGTATTGTTGTAAGGAGGTAGAAGCTGATCTAGTGACTTTATCTTCAAATACCTATGAAAATGGACTCGCTTAAACTGTGATGACCATGCCTTAAATTGCCTGCACTAGGTTCCTGCTCGCTCTGTAGCAGGAACACTGAAACAGGTAGCACTGAAATTGTTTCACTGATTACATAGGGCTGAAAAGACTAGACTGCAAATCAGCATGAAATTCAGGTGCTTAAGCATCAGTATGGTGTTTAGATGCTTGTTTTAGACGTCACCTGACCTCCAGCCCCACTCCAGAAGAGCAATGGCCTCCTTTAACTCCTGTGTTATATCTAACAGTTCCTATATGTATACTTCAGACTTAAGGCATTTAGGGCATTTGAAATAGCACTTTATGCTGGCGTTTAGAGACCCAAATTAGTTTGTTATGTTAGTGGTATAAATAGGTCATATAAAATATATCACATACCATTTAAGTATTATGGGAACCTGATCTGTCTTTCAGCTGACTCTAGGTAATTGAATTTATTCTCTGCAACTCTCAGGGATGGATTTAACTGCATTTTCTGCATTCTTTTACAAAACTATGGTAGAAGTAGGTAGATTTTGAGATAGGCCTTAAGTTGGGTGTGGAGGTTTGGGGAGTGCTTTATGAAGAAAATATGTACCCACTGAAAGCCTGATTGTAAAAACCATGTCACATACAATAGTATTTAATTAAAAGGATTAGTAGGCCATACATCTCTTACCACATAGGTCTGCAGAAGCAATATATTCAAAAGTACATTGTTGCTAAGTAGCTTTCATCTCTCTGGACCACAAGTAATTAGGCCCTCACCCACTCTTTAGACTTATACTTTCACAATCTGAAGAAGAAAACCTCACAAAAATTTAAGTTAACAAAAAGGATGGTGGGTTTTGTTGTGTAGGGGTTGTTTTGTTTTGGTTTTTGTTTGTTTGTGGGGTTTTTTTTGTTTGTTTGGTTTTGGTTTGGGTTTTTGTTTTTCAAAAGAAAAGGATGTGGGGGAAATACAAGAGTATATAAGTTCAGGAGACCTAGGGCAGCAGTGAGTAATATAGTGATATTATATGGTTTATATAATCCATTGTTCTTGAATTCCTTAAAATAACTACGATCTATAATATGTCTATAGAACTTTTTGTCTTTGAACTATGCTAATTAATCCTCAGTACAATAACAGGTATAAATAAAAACAGAAGATGAGCTCAATGTTTTGATACCTTGTTTGAAATTATGATGGGATTGTGGGAAGATATGGGATTAGGTTGGTAAGAGATGTGGTGTTTGCGGTATGTCACTGACATAAATATGATAGTGGAAAAATATTAGAGTAAATCGTTATTAAAAGAAAGAGAAGCAAGTGGATATCAGTGTGACTGTGTGGAAAAGAGAAGCAGATGGCCTACAGAAGCACAGAATAGTTGAGATCCCTACCTTTGGAAATCATCTGGTCCAATCCCCCTGCGAAAGTAGGGCCACCTAGAGCTGGTTGCCCAGGACCATCTCCAAGTGGCTTTTGAATATGTCCAAGGATGGAAACTCCATCACATCTCTGGGCAACCTGTGCCATTGCTCAGTCACCCTCAGTGAAAAAGTGTTT